ATAGACCAGTAGGCCTGCTGCAGTGTTCCTTCTTTTTTATGTTATGTTCTTATTTTAAACGGCAAAATTAATAACGGCATGCACGAGCCGTGGGTGTGGCTGTGTAGGGGTGTGAGGATGAGTCAGGGTTAGCCAGAAAAGTGTTGACATAGTTGGAGCAGGATAAGAGCAAGGTGCTCAGGAAGTGCTGTCATTTCTCTTGAACTTGTTAAATATTATGCAGCTTTGAGTTACCTCTGGTTGAGGTCTTCCATATCTGTAGACATTTTATTTCTGTACCTTATACATGGGGGGGAGGAGGTAAGTGACGCAATTCTTATCATATGATGACCCGCTTATAACGACTGCTTAAAACTATTGTAAAAGCTGTGGCCATGCTTAGGAACATAAGGGGCACTGCAGCAGGACTATTGGCCCATGTTAGGCAGGTACAACTCTCGCCCACCTACACCTACTCGTATATTTGTCCAGTTTGTTTTTAAAGCAATCCAAAGTTCTTGTTTCAGTGACGCTACTTGGGAGTTTGTTCCATTCATCCATAACTCTTGCCAAACTAGTTCTTGCACCCTGTCCTTGAAAACACATTGTCACTTATGACAGATTTAGTGGTAAAGCACTTGGCGCCTTTCATTATAGACCTGAGGTTACTGAATGTGGATGTGCATCTCGACGCAATAAATATACATCACCCCCTCTCATGACTAAGAACATAAGAAAGAAGGAACACTGCAACAGGCCTACTGACCCATGCGGAGCAGGTCCATTCCCCCCCCCCCCCCCCGATTAGCCCAATGACCCCATCCCCTGGATTAGCCCAATGACCCACAACCTAATGAACATAAAATGGTATGAAATACCGACAGATTGTTAGGTAAGACACATATGCAACAGTTAGGTATCTTTATTTCGAAACGTTTCGCCTACACAGTAGGCTTCTTCAGTCGAGTACAGAAAGGTTGATAGAAGCAGAAGATACTGGTAAGCCAGCGGAAGGCCTCGGTCAGATGACCACAAGCTTCAGCTGCGGGTCATTGTAAGACTAAGACCCGCGTCAGGAAACACTTGTGCTGTTTCTTGACAAACCTTACCTAACCAAACTCTGTTGTGTTAGCGTGTCTTTTGAATGATCCAAGTCAGACCGAAACGTCGTCGTACGCTTCTCTCTCCCATGTGCGGGTTATTTGTGTATCTGTTCAGTAGATATGAGCTCTGGCAAATCAAATCACAGAACGGGTGTTTGCAGTCGTGCTATGCGATTTTGTGAGTCAATATTTGTGGCACCGGGGGGATTTTTAAAAGTTAGTTTTTTCCATAACTAACCCACAAACATTATTTGACCATGAAGTAAAAATTGCGTTTCAGCCCGTCTCGGATTATTATACAGTAGTTTTTAATTTGTGGATTGTAAAATGAAATAACAACCATATTGCGACTTGTATTAGTGGTTTTAACCTGTCTGACTTCTTAAAAACAACGTTTGCAGCCAAAATAAAATGTGAGAAATATTTGTAAGGAATCATACCTACCTAACAGGTTCCTCGGCGAATGTTCCTCTTCTGCGCCAATATTGTAAAACTTCGTTTTGTCCTTGTGTAAAAAGAGGGAATACAACTCTCTAGTTGTGTGGGAGGAGGGTGACAACTCTCAAGGTTCACCTGTTGGGTGGGAGAAGGGGAGCAGCGCTCAAGGCCTATCTGTTGGGTGAGATTAGGGTAATAGCTCTCAAGGCCCACCTCTTGGGTGGGAGTAGGGGAACAGCTGTCAAGGCCCACCTGTCGTGAGGAAGGAGGGGAACAGCTTTCAAGGCCTACCTGTTCTTTTTCTCAATTCAAACTTGTCTGTGGGGGTAAAAAAGCCAAGGTATTAATGTATATTATCCTCCAATCTCGCCCTCCCCCATCCCACTGTTGGTGGATGGTTAAGTGGATGGTGGTGGTAAGAGTATGTCGTGGCTAACTTGGGGAGTTGGATGATGGTTGGCGGAGGGAGTGAAAGACAGTTGGCTGGGAGATTAATTAGGACCAGATGTTCGGAGTGAGTGCTGTCAGTGGGCAGTCTAGGGTCAAGACTAGTAGTAGAGTCGGCTGCGAGAGACTGCACTCTCCTAAATGTGGTTGCAGGGGTCCAATCTCGGCTTCTGTAATGGGCTAATCATGGCGTTGAATTTACAGGCTAAGAGATATTTTCTTACATTAATTAACCCATTTCAAAGCACAACCTTATTGGAAGTATACTATCATCCCCCAGGATGCCACCCACCAACACGTTACAAGTAAAAGGTATACATACAGTATGGAAACTAAGTTTTTATGCTGCGTATGTGTGTGGTACTTACCCCAAGTAGCCTATTTACTACTTGATTCTGAAGGCAAAAGTGGTAAGGGAAACACTGGGAAGGATGTACAGGTAGGATGTACAGGTAGAGTCCGGAATGTGGAACTGAGCATGCAACGCCTAAGGCATAGTTAAGTCGGCATGGGAGTAGTAAAGTCATGGCTGTGGCATCCTCTTGACCTGATCTTACGTGATGTTTATAGACAAGTGACCACATGTCATGCTTGACTTTGTCTCGAGCCTTGATGTCAGTGAAGCGCTCTTTATCTAAGGAATTGAGCCTGTTTTCTTTTTTCCGATTACCTCGTCTTCTGTATATAGCTCTACTGTCTTCAAGTTATGTCCTGAAATTTGTATTGATAAAGCCACTGGATGGCAAAACGTCTGTGTTTGGCCCCACTGCTCATCCTCCAGACTTGCCAGAACGAATTGCAGGGGAGTTGAGCTTCATCAAAGTGAAGTTTTTGCCTCCTAATACCACTCCTCTCCTCCAGCCCATGGACCAGCAGGTCATTTCAAATTTCAAAAAACTGTACACCAAAGCAATGTTTCAAAAGTGCTTTGAAGTGACCTCAGACCCTGAATTGACCCTAAGAGAGTGTTGGAAAGATCACTTTAGTATCTTCAGTTGCATAAACCTTATAGGTAAGGCTTGGGAGGGAGTGACTTGCAGGACTTTGAACTCTGCTTGGCAGAAATTGTGGCCACAGTGTGTATAAGAGAGGGATTTTGAAGAGTTTGGGGTTAACCCTGAGGAGCCTATACCAGTTGTGGAATCTATTGTCATTGGGGAAGTCCATGGGGTTGGAGGTTGGTGGGGAGGATGTGGAAGAGTTGGAGGACGACGACGATGAAGAATTAACCACTGATGAGCTGCAAGAGCACTGCAACAGCAAGAGACCACAACTGAGGAAATTGCTTCAGAGGAGGGAAGAGAGAAATAGAGGAAGTTCCTTCTTCAACGATTAAAGACATTCATACAATATGGACAAAGGTGCAAGTCTTTATGGAAGAACATCACCCTGACACAGCTATTGCAAGCTGTGCTGGCAACTTTTACAATGACAATGTTGTGGCCCATTTTAGGAAAATCTTAAAGGAATGCCAGACACAGAGCTCTATGGACAGATTTTTGGCATGACAGAGGTTCAGTGACTGTCAAGTTGTTCCCAGTGGCATTAAAAAAAGAAGGGAAGTAACCCCGGAAAAGGACTTGGTAAAGTCCTTATAGAAGGGGATTTCCCTTTCAAACAATAATACACCTCCATCATCTCCCCTCCTCCCATCTCATCACTCATCAGTAAATCTTCAATAAAGGTAAGTGTCATTTATTCTTCATGTAGTATTTATTTTTCATGTATCATTGTTTTCTGTGTAGGAAATTGTATATTTCATGTGAGATTTTTTTTTTTTTTTAATACTTTTGGGTGTCTGGAACAGATTAATTGGTTTTCCATTATTTCTCATGGGGAAAATTAATTCGGCTAACGGTAAAATCGGTTAAGGACAAGCTCTCTGGAACGGATTAAAATCATTACCCGAGGGTCCACTGTACAGGTATCTAATAAGACACGTGTTCAAGGTCCTATGATGGAGTCTATACAATACATTACGTACAGTATATGTATTGTTAGAAAGGTCTTGTGTAGACTATACAGGGCAATTTTGGTATCCATTTCCCAGAATGGATATAAATGTGCTACATAAGAAAAGGATGGCAGTTAATCCCTTGTGTTAGAAATACTTCCTACTTTGATAAGTTGAGAACTGATCATGCACTCTTGAAAGGCAAAGAATGAATGTGGGGGGATAAGATGGAAGTGCATAAGTTTTTTTTTTTTTTTTTTTCCAACAAACTGGCCGTATCCAACCAAGGCAGGGTGGCCCAAAAAGAAAAACGAAAGTTTCTCTTTTTAAATTTAGTAATTTATACAGGAGAAGGGGTTACTAGCCCCCTTGCTTCTGGCATTTTAGTCACCTCTTACAACACGCATAGCTTACGGAGGAAGAATTCTGTTCCACTTCCCCATGGAGATAAGAGGAAATAAACAAGAACAAGAACTAGTAAGAAAATAGAGGGGTGTGTGTGTATATATATGCTTGTACATGTATGTGTAGTGTGAGCTAAGTGTAAGTAGAAGTAGCAAGACGTACCTGAAACCTTGCATGTTCATGAGACAGAAAAATGGACATCATGTAAAACAATTACAGGCTTTTGTTTTACACTCACTTGGCAGGATGGTAGTACCTCTCTGGGTGGTTGCTGTCTACCAGCCTATTACCTATTGGATGGAAGTGCATAAGTGCCTTGTATAATATACGACAGTCCTTGAAGATGCATAGGCTCAGTGAAATTAGAAACATGCTCCAGATTCATACTACTGTATAAGCAAAAAGTAGATACACATTACAAAGGGGATGATGCTCTGTATGGTTTGTGGCAAAGTCTTTATAATAAATCTTTCACATCTAACCCAGAAGTTGCAGGTGGAAACTGGATGGTGATGCATTTTGACTGTAACCATTATTGCCAAGTGACAATGGTCCAAGATGAACCAAAATTTGTAGTTTCAATTTCCAAATTGAGAGTTAGATTTGAATTGTAATAACCACTGTATTTTGTATTATTCTCCATTTTTAATAATTATTCCTTTGTGTTTGCACAGGTTGTGGGTGACAAGGCAGGTGGTAGATGCGTGTGGTATGGACAGTGTGGCACTAACCCAGAGTCATTCACTCACGGAAAAGCCAACTGTCCCTACAATGGTCCTCCCAAGCCTTTGGATCCTGCATCCAAGACCATCCTGACCAGTGTGTGTCCAGAGCTGGTTGCTGATATATGTGAGTTAAACAGTGCATCAACCTGTCATTTTTGTTATACTCTATATCCATGTTAGTATCTCAGTAAGACAATTTTGCAACACTCATATTTTAGTAGGAAATATTTTGCTACTGGGAGCTTTATCAGTTCAGTGTTTCAGTGTTGCATTTTGTCGGTTTACATATACCGTATAACCTGTATATCCAGGTTTCTTTGTAAATGGTATCAACTAAAAATATGTATAGGTGTAATGTTACAAATATAAATTATTGAGAAAGAAAACTCCTTTGAAAATATTTGGGAAATCGGAATGAAACTTTGTTTCATTTTTGGTCACTTTTCAAGGCAAGGCTTTTCTGAGAAATATGTGAACTATACATTTTTTTTCTTTAACACATCGGTTGTCTCCCACCGAGGCAGGGTGACCCTAAAAGAAAGAAAATCTCCAAAAAGAAAATACAGTGGTACCTCGAATTTCAAACAGCTCCCAACTTGGACAATTATGTAAGTGTATTTTTGTAAGTGCTTTTGTAAGTGTATTTTTGGGGGTCTGAAATGGACTAAGCTAATTTACATTCCTTATTGTAACACATTTGTTTGGTAACGGCACTCGAACAGCCATCTGGAAAGAATTCTGGCCAAAATTCGAGGTACCACTACTTTCATCATCATTCAGCACTTTTACCTCGCTCGTACATAATCACTGTCTTTGCAGAGGCACTCATATACGACAGTTTAGAAGTCTCTCCAAACTGCCAATATCCCAAACCATTCCTTTAAAGTGCAGGCATTGTACTTCTCATTTCCAGGACTCGAGTCTGGCTAACAAGTTTCCCTGAATCCCTTCACAAAATATTACCCTGCTCACACTCCAACAGCTCGTCAGGTCCCAAAAACCATTCATCTCCAGTCACTCCTAACACACACACACACACACATGCTTGCTGGAAATCCAAGCCCCTCGCCCACAAAACCTCCTTTACCCCCTCCCTCCAACCTTTTCGAGGACGACCCTTACCCTGCCTTCCTTCCTTCCCCTACAGATGTATATGCTCTCCAAGTCATTCTGCTGTGATCCATTCTCTCTAAATGACCACACCACCTCAACAACCCCTCTTCAACCCTCTGACTAATACTTTTAGTAACTCCACACCTCCTCCTAATTTCCACGCTCTGAATTTTCTGCATAATACGTATTTACACCACACATTGCCCTTAGACAAGACATCTCTACTGCCTCCAGCTGCCTTCTCGCTGCAGCATTTGCAACTCAAGCTTCACACCCATATAAGAGTGTTGGTACCATTATACAGTGGACCCCCGGCTTACGATATTATTTCATTCCAGAAGTATGTTCAGGTGCCATTACTGAACGAATTTGTTCCCATAAGGAATATTGTGAATTAGATTAGTCCATTTCAGACCCTCAAATATACACGTACAAACGCACTTACATAAATACACTTACATAATTGGTCGCATTGGGAGCTGATCGTAAAGCGGGGGTCTACTGTATTTTCGTACATTGCCTTCTTTGCCTCCATAGATAACGTGTTTTTTGTCTCCACAGATACCTCAGTGCACCACCCACCTTTTTTCCTTCATCAGTTCAGTGGTTAACCTCATCATTCACAAACCCATCTGCTGACAAGTCAACTCCTAAATATCTAAACACATCCACTTCTTCCATACTCCCCTCCTCCAAAGTGATATCCAATTTTTCTTTATCTAAATCATTTGATACCCTCATCACCTTACTCTTATCTATGTTCACTTACATATCTGTTTATTAATCGTTCATGGGATCATTGACCAGTCTCTGGCTCATCTACTGTACAATTCTACATTACTGAGAAATGCTTCATACCTGTTACAGTAACTTCAGGCAACCCAGCTTCCAACATCAGCACTTGCTGTGACTCTGTGCAATTGACTGCAATGGTTGGACAGATGAATATAGGTTTGGGCCTGCTGCAGCGCTGTCCTACTTGCGTGAGAAACTTTCGTCAGATCTACTGCTATATGACCTGCAGTCCTCACCAGAGCAACTTCATGTTCCCCAAGGAAATCAAGAATGCCACAGACACTCGTAAGTGAAGCTGATACTTCATGAAGATTTTTTAAGAGATAAATAATGGGATCCCATTATTTAACTGCATTGGAATGTTAATCATTAAATCATTATTGTTAGTGACATGCTTTACAGCTGGAGTTCCATCCCCATAAACACAAGTTATATGTAAATACATACATATATATTGTATATACTATTCAGTATGTACATAATTTAATATATAACTATGGATGTATGGAATAAGAAACTTAACATTTCTGTGAAGTACAGTACAGTATAGGACATACTATTGTACATATTTTGCTTTCTTTGTGTAGACTGTCATATACTGAACAATGCTTTCTGCATAGTTTCTACAGTGATTAAAATGTACATATGGAATATCAGTGCTATAGGATGAACTAGAAGGTGCAGAAATCTGGAAGGGTGGTTGTGGAAGGAGGGGTAGGGGTTGTCCTATGAAGGGTTGGAGGTAAGGTATAAAGGGGATGGTAAGTGGTAGAGGCTTGAGCATCCAGCATGTGTTTGTTAAATCTGAGTGAATGAAGGCATGCTTTCAAGGATTGATGTGCTGTTGGAGTGTGAGCAGGGTAACATTGTGAAGGGATTTAGGGAAACCAGTTACACTGTCTCTTAAGTCCTGGATGTGGGAAGTACAGTGCCTACACTCTGAAAGATGGGTGGGGATGTTTTAGTTCAAAGGGTTATTTGAATTGTGATGTCGGCACTCTTCTATCAAAACAGATATTGAATGAATAATGGTGAATGTTTCGCTTTTAGGATTGTCCAACCATGTTGAGAGAGACAAAGGGTTAAAAATTTTCAGTTATGTTAATGACTGGTAACAATTAATTGTTGGTATGCAATAATTATTCAATTTTAATTACCCCCTAATTTTTATGTAACATTAAATTAAAAAAAAATAGCTGGCTATTGCTGTTTGTGGGGGAATGTCCATAAAATTGATTAACTTTGGGTCTTGAATTAGGGCTCTTGCAGCTGCCATTATTTTATTTAAATATAATGTTTGGATTTCACTCTGTTTTGTTGTTGCTGTAAAATATTTCTATGGAACCAATTTTTCCCTGCATTAGTAGGTAAAAAATGTCAAGTGTGTGCTGATTTTTTTTTACTTGCAGAGAAACCAGTCATCACTGACCTTGAAGTGCATGTCACCAAAAAATTTGTAGATGGTGTGTTCTCCTCATGCAAAGATGTTGCTATGCCATCAACCAATGAAAAAGCAATGTCATTAATGTGTGGACATTGGGGACAATATTATTGCACAGGTCAACGTTGGTTTGAATATATGGGCTCTGTATCCAATGGATATGCACCATTTCAGATTGATTATGTGTATCAAGAAAGCTCTAATTCAACGTTTAAACCTTTCACCAAGAACATCATTCCCTGCAACTCAGCTGTATCTGTAAGTATCAAGTGATCCAAAAACCACAACATAACTCTCCTTTCGTTATATTGTAGCTTTTTTTTTTTTTTTTCACTTGATGCTGTTGGTTGACTACATTACACTAATGGTGTGATACATGTCTGTTTTGTTAGTGATTATCCAGTAGATCAGTGGTGGGCAAACTATGGCCCGTGGGCTGCATGCGGCCTGCCAAAGGTTTTCATGCAGCCTGCCAAGATCAAGTCACATACAAACTGGTAAATGACTGCAGTCAGAGTCATCATTCTCGCTGACGTTTTTCTCTTACTGAGTTACTTTTTTTTTTTTTTTTTTGTTTTTTTCAAATAAATTTCTGAATGTTTCCCCTGCACTGAAAAGTTTGCCTACCCCTGCAGCTCAGTGGAATGCTGATGGTATTTTTAGCAAGATTTTCAAAATCTAAATTAATTATTTATGATTGTTTTATTTAAAATCTGAAACTATATAATGATGAAGGTTCTCTTATGTTTTGTCTTCTTCTAAAAAATAAATCACTGCAATTTAGCCTAAAAAATATAAGCTGGTTAAATGAATTTTCACTTAATTATTTACTGCACTTGGATCTTCTGAAACCATGGGTTTATTTCTTGCCTTTACTTTTCTTAATGCTTAGACATCATGCAGAGGGAGTACACAATGCAACCTTGCGTATGATAAGGGAAAGCAGGCTAGGAGTGTGGTACACCAACACAGATGGGTTATCCAATAAGAGTGACGAGCTGAAAGCATGAATAACTGAGGTAAATCTAGACATCATAGTAGTCACATGCTTGCCTAGCAGCTCTTGAGTGGGGCCTTCAGGAAATTCAACAGTTATTCAGAGAGTCTCAAGACTCCAGACTGTCACGTTAGCTAACACGATGGTCTGGAGTTTTGACTCTGATCGCGGGTTCTAACCCCACCCGTGGTATGGTTTATTCAGGATGCTTTATACAACATATGCCAGGCCCAACTTGGAGTATGCAAAACTGGTATGGAACCCACACCTGAGGAAGCATGTTAATTGAGAAACTGGAGGAAGTGCAGAAGTATGCAGCAAGACTAGGTCCAGAGCTAAATGATATAAACTGTAAGGAAAGGCCAAAAGAATCTAATGAACCTGGAGAACAAAAGATACGGAGATTCTGGGAGAAGTAATACACTTGTTGGATGTCTTGGTAGCATATAATATGGTGAGAAGTGATGAGCCCAGATGCCAGCCCTTGCCCAGTCTGTAGGTCTACGGGAACCGAGGGAGGAACACTGTGGCCTATGGCTCGTGTGAGGAACTTGTGATGTCACAGCTCGTCACTGAGCCTATCTATAAAGTAATGGATATAACAGTATGATACACAGTACTACTGACACTCAGGGTACAGCATGAAGCTAGACAGTCACAGGGATGTCAGGAAGTATTTCTTCAGTCTCAGGGTGGTCAGTAGTTGGAATGACCTTGAAGTGGTAAAGGCAGACTCCATCCATAGTTTGAGGAGGAGGTACAATAGGGCTCACAATGCTAGGAAGGAGTGAATTTGGCAGGCAGCAAGCGAGAGGCAGGGCCAGGAGCCGAGACTCAACCCCTGCAACCACATATAGGGGAGTACACTATAGTTGTGAGCTGGGAAGTATGGTGCATATGCAAGCCAGGTGGGTGTATTAGATTCAGTTGGTCGTTGAATAAGATAATGAGTGCCTGCTTGATAATATTAGTTGAGTGGTTACAATAATTATCATTAAAAAAATCAGAAAAAAGCCCATGATTGTGATTATACTGTTTGATTTAAATAATTGGTGTATCATTTTGTTAACCACTTTCATGCACAGAATAACTCTCGAGCATGTAGCTGTTTGGATTGTGAGGCGTCGTGTCCTAAACCACCACCTCTCCCTCCACTGCCACAACCATTCATCATATTTGGAGTTGATGGACTGGAGTTGGTCATGGCACTCGTCTTCCTATTTATTGCATCAGTATTTGCCACAGTTTATGTGTGTCTTTCGTGCCGCTCTCAAAGCGTTGATAGTAAGTGGAAAAAATGTGGGTACTGGTTTCTGGCATATATTGAATATATATTTTATTTTAGACAAAATTTACAATTTTGGCTTATAAATCATTGCAGACAAGCAGTGTGTAAATCAGTTTTTGCCATAAATGTACAAAAATCAGCTTTGAACTTCAGAAAATTAGTGTTTTATATTTCAGTGATGAAATACTATCTATGTAGATTGTCTGTCTGACCCCTTCCTCCCACATGATCACACACTTGCAAAACATGCACACACGCACACCACACCCCACACATGCACACAGTTGCACATCTTTATTCTTTCTTTCAACACACCGGCCATATCCCACCAAGGCAGGGTGGCCCAAAAAGAAAAACGAAAGTTTCTTTTAAATTTAGTAATTTATACGGGAAAAGGGGTTACTAGCCCCTTGCTCCCGGCATTTTAGTCGCCTCTTACAACACGCATGGTTTACGGAGGAAGAATTCTGTTCCACTTCCCCATGGAGAACAGTTGCACATGCAAGGCTGAAAATAGCAGAAAAGCAGAGGAAGCACTGAACATAGTGAACAATGGCTCAATTGAAAAATCATTAAAATAGTGTTACATTCAAAAGAGGGATGCTGAAACACATGGCTCTCCTGTATACAGTGGACCCTCGCCTAACGCTATTAATCCGTTCCTGAGAGCTCAACGTTAGGCGAAATTATCGTTAGCCGAATTAATTTTCCCCATAAGAAATAATGGATATCAAATTAATCCGTTCCTGACACCCCAAAGTATGAACAAAAAAAATTTTTACCACATGAAATATTAATTTTAATACACGCAAACGGAAGAAGACATGCACAGTTACATGACACTTACCTTTATTGAAGATCTGGTGATGATTGATGGGATGGGAGGAGGGGAGACTGTGGATGGTATTAATGTTTAGAAGGGGAATCCCCTTCCATTAGGACTTGAGGTGGCAAGTCCTTTTCTGGGGTTACTTCCCTTCTTTTAATGCCACTAGGACCAGCTTTGAGTCACTGGACCTCTGTCGCACAACATATCTGTCCATAGAGGCCTGTACCTCCCGTTCCTTTGACATTCCTAAAGTGTTTCACAACATTGTCAGTGTAATAGTCACCAGCACGGCTTGCAATAGCTGTGTGAGGGTGATTTTCACCAAAAAAGGTTTGCACTTTAAGCCACATTGCACACATTTCCTTAATCTTTGAAGTAGACAACTTCTTCAATTTCACTATCCCCTCCTCTGGAGCAGTTTCCTCAGGTCTGGCCTCTTGCTGTTGAAGATGATCCAGCAGCTCATCAGTGGTTAGTTCGTCATTGTCCTCCTCCACCAACTCTTCCACATCCTCCCCACAAACCTTCAACCCCAAGGACTTCCCCAATGCCACAGTGGATTCCTCAACTGGCATAGGATTCCCAGGGTTAGCCTCAAACCCTTCAAAATCCCTTTTGTCTACACATTCTGGCCACAGTTTCTTCCAAGCGGAGTTCAAGGTCCTCTTAGTCACTTCCTCCCAAGCCTTACCTATAATGTTTACACAATTGAGGATGCTAAAGTGATCTCTCCAAAACTCTCTTAGTCAATTGAGTTTCTGAGGCCACTACAAAGCACCTTTCAAACATAGCTTTTGTGTACAGTTTCTTGAAGTTGGAAATGACCTGCTGGTCCATGGGCTGCAGGAGAGGAGTGGTATTAGGAGGCAAAAACTTGACCTTAATGAAGCTCATTTCTGCAGAAAGTTGCTCTGCCACATCTGAAGGATGACCAGGAGCATTGTCTAATACCAGAAGGCACTTAAGGTCTAATTACTTTTCAATTAGGTAATTTTTCACAGTGGGGGCAAATGCATGGTGTAACCAGTCATAGAAAAAGTCCTTAGTGACCCATGCCTTACTGTTTGCCCTCCACAGCACACACAAATTAGCCTTGAGGACATTGTTTTTCCTGAACACTGGGAGTTTGAGTGATACACCAATAAAGGCTTCACTTTGCAATCACCACTAGCATTAGCACACATCAACAGAGTAAGCCTGTCTTTCATAGGCTTATGTCCTGGGAGTGCCTTTTCCTCCTGAGTAATGTAGGTCCTGCTTGGCATTTTCTTCCAAAACAGGCCTGTTTCGTCACAATTAAACACTTGTCCAGGTTTCAGTCCTTCACTATCTATGTACTCCTTGAATTCCTGCACATATTTTTCAGCCGCTTTGTGTTCCGAACTGGCAGCCTCACCATGCCTTATCACACTATGTATGCCACTACGCTTCTTAAATCCCTCAAACCAACCTTTGCTGGCCTTAAATTCACTCACATCACCATTAGTTGCAGGCATTTTTCTATTTAAATCCTCATGCAACTTCCTAGTCTTTTCACATATGATCGCTTGAGAGATGCTATTTGTTTTTCGTTTATCCACACCAATAACAGTCTCTCAACATCATCTATCTCTTGCGATATCTGTTTCGAAAACAAAGTTGCGCCTTTGGCAAGAACAGCTTCCTTGATTGCCGTTTTCTTGGCCACAATAGTAGCGATGGTTGATTGGGGTTTTGTGTACAACCTGGCCAGCTCGGAGACACGCACTCCACTTTCATACTTAGCAATGATCTCTTTCTTCATATCCATAGTAATTCTCACCCTTTTTACTGTAGGGTTGGCACTAGATGCTTTCTTGGGGCTCATGGTGACTTATTTTGCAGGTGCAATCACTAAAAAGGCTGTGATAATATGAAATGTTCCGATTGTATGCTTGGAAGCGACCGCGGTGGCTGGCTTGTAAACACTGGCACCCACGGAACAAGTGAGGCGGGCTCAGGCTGCATGTGGACGCGTCTCGAATGAATCGCGTTGAGCGAGTTTTTTAGCGCTAGCCGAGGCAAAATGTTTGCGTTAAAATGTATCGCTAGGCGGATTTAACGTTATGCGATGCGTTGGTTAGGTGAGGGTCCACTGTATATCTACACAAATGCTTTTAGGATTGCATTATATGTATCATTTGTGCTACACCTTTTAATGTTATTAAATTTTCAGTAGCAGTTGATACCTCTACTGGGCCATCATGGGCAGAAGAACCAAACTGCTTAGAAAAAGCTGGTTCTTGGATTGATGATATCCTAGAAAAGTTCTTCACAGCTTGGGGTACAGGTAAGAGCACTGTACTACTGTATTTGTGTATTCTGCATAACAAGGCCCACTCTAAATTTTTAAGCCATTATATGCTTATTCTTTATTTTTTATGGAACTTTACCGACTTGTTTAGAGATGTTTTAAAAGGTAATGAAGCATATTTTGATTTCTCATACAAGTTGGCAGGTTTAGAGCTTCTTTTTGATGATACTACTAATAATAATTGTACAAGTCAGCATCCAGGATGAAATCTTTATGGTGACAGCCTGAATTTTTTTATGACAAACTAGTGTTTTTATATGAAGTAAGTAGTAAATTTTTTCCTTCTAGTATGTGCTGAATATCCATGGATTGTGCTCCTTGTGGGAATGGCTATAGCAGTCGGACTGTCGGCTGGCATTGTGTTCCTTCATGTGACCACAGATCCCGTTGAACTGTGGGCTGCCCCCAACTCTAGGTCACGTGTTGAAAAGGAGTTCTTTGACAAAAGCTTCGAACCATTTTACCGTACAGAAATGCTCATTATTCGTCCAGTTGGAGTGGATAAGGTTGGTTCATTTGGACAGTGGGGATACACACTTAGTTACTTCGATGTAATTACAGTGGTACCTCGGGTTACAAACTTAATTCATTCCAGAAGGCTGTTCGAGTGCCGATACCAAACAAATTTGTTCCCATAAGGAATAATGTAAATTAGATTAGTCCGTTTCAGACCCCCAAAAATACACTTACATTGTTCGAGTTGGGAGCTGTTCGAAACTTGAGGTACCACTGTACCTCTTTAAGTCTATTCATTTGAGTGGAGAAATATTAGTAGATTGATAAAATGAAATTAAGGGTAGAAAAGTATGTATTGATTGTTCCAGTTATTGATTGTTCCAGAATTATTTACTGTGAATATGGTACAATATTGGTATAATTTTTATTGACTTTTATTTTGATTAGTACAGTGCTACCTACCATTGTATGCATATCATTCTGGAGAGAACTGAAGCTAATAAAAAAAAAAAATTTTTTTAAGTTAATCAGTTTTTATAAGTTCATCATTAATTAAAGTATGATTCATGCCAGTACTCAAGAGAAAGAAGTAATAAATGTTAGATTAAAGCCATTATTTAAGAGAGAGGAGCAATAGATAATATAATGTTTTATTAAAAATAGCAAACTATTTATTGTGAGAGAAAGTATGCTTGATGTTAAGATTTTTATTAAAGATTTATGATATCCTGGATTGAAGTTAAGTTAGGCTAAATGGTTAGTGAATAGTTTAATTCACTGATGGTAAGTTTTTTTATTTTGGATATTATTTAATACTGGGCAGTTAAAAAAAAAAAATAGCTGTAATTGGATAGACATAAGGCAGTAGGAGCCAGGGGCATGAACATTTCAGACCAAAATGTCGTTATAAATTTCAAGTCTCTTAAGTGCAAGTGATTTGTGTATTGATTTATGTATTTATCTTTTCTTGTATACATTTTTTCCTCATAAAAATTAATTATTTATGAAGAGTACCCTTTGATAACACTGTTCTGTGCAGTAGAATCTACCTGCAACACCTCAGAATCTGCTGCTTCACCAGCCTTGGCAGCAGTCTTCTTTGCAGTCTGTACTCGTATTGATAGCCATTTTGGGGGGAATATGGTGTAGATAACATACTTCTACATGTGCCCTTGACAAAACATCATAATTGAATGCAGGTTTTGTTTTATGCATATTTAATCACTACTTTTAAGAATAATTTTTTATATTTTATATACATTTTTTTTTGTCTAAAAAGGGTCAACATTGTGTGATATTTATGGAGAGAATAAATTAAGGCATATTTTAGCAAGTAATGTCAACTGGGATATTTACAAATTATAAATATGGTAGATTAGGACCAGAGTGATGCCATATATAATTTTTTTCACTTTAACCAACTGGCATGAAAATTGTATCTTTCCATATTGATACTATTACAAACCTGCCAAAAAAAAAAAATAAATTGTGATGCTAGAACTTAAGAGAAAAAAAACTATCAATTCTATGCCTCTGTTCCCTCTGTGTGGCTTTATAAAATTATTTTTTACATTATAGGTGATTAAAATTAGTTTTAACCCTTTGACTGTTTTGGTCGTATATATACATCTTACGAGGTACCGTATTTGACGTATATATACACTCATAAATTCTAGCAGCTTCAAATCAAGCAGGAGAAAGCTGGTGAGAGAATGGGCCTGGGTGGTCAGTGTGCACCACATAAAAAAAATCCTGGAGCACACAGTGCATAATGAGAAAAAAAACTCCGACCGTTGTTTTTTTTTTTCCTTTTTTTTTTTAATTAAAATGCCGACTTTGTGGTCTATTTTCGTATAGTATTTATGGCTGTATTCTCGTTTTCTTGGTCTCATTTGATAGAATGAAAAACATATTATAGAAATAGAGGTGATTTTGATAGGTTTTACTATAAAAAGAACCTAAAAATGGAGCTCAAATTAGGGGAAATGTTTGATTTTTGCTGATGTTCAAAAGTAAACAAATGATGTCATTGTCGAATAAATGTCCAAGTAGCCATTATAATATGCAGTCATGAATGGGTTGACATTATTTGTACAATTATTACAGTATTGCAGTAGTCTGCATAACAGTAAATCTTCTATTTTTTGTTTGAATAAAAATTCGAAATAGAAAGCAAGAGTAATATCAGAGGGGCCTGGAGACATGACTGATGAACAAAGAAAATGTTATTTTAGAGCCAGGAATGTCTGCATTGTTCATTCTGGACCTTATTTTGAAATTGTCATATTTTTTAATTTTTGTGAAATTGGCCTAATTACAAATTTGACCACGTTATTGGGTAGTTGAAATTGATAAATGGGCAGTTTCTTGTACTCAGTCGATAGAAAAAACGGAGTTCTAAAGAAATAGCCATGAGTTTGGTCGACTGGAACAATGGAATTAGCCGAAAATAGGGCTCAAAGTGGGCGAAATCGCCGATTTGTAAATATCACCAAAGTTGCCAACTTTGCGAGAGCATAATTCTGTCAGTTTTCTATCAAATCTTTTTTTTTTTTTTTTTTTTTTTTTGTCATTACAATCGGGGAAAAGATTCTCTATCATTTCATAAGATTTTTTTTTTTTTTAAATTTTGCGACACCAGGAGACACCTCAGGATTGGGGGTTGCGACAGTCAAGGGGTTAAATGCTTTATGATAGTAAGTTTGATTTGTTGAATTGAGAGAAAATAAAATATATTTTCAACATTGTTCTTCAGGTTACTCATGAATCTCCGGATGGACAAGAGATATGGGGACCAGTGTTCAACAAAACCTTTCTTGCAGAGGTCCTCAAACTTCAGAACTACATTACTAATGAGGTCAGTTTGCTAAGTTGATATTTAGTAGCTAGGTTCATCTTAAGTTGTTGCTTCCCATCCAAGGTTGCCATACTTCATCCCAAGTTAGGCTTTGTCCAAGACTTCCATATTTTTGAGAGGTAACGACTACCTCTTCAAAAGCATTTTTATTTTAAAGTAAAGGCATCTGATTTATGGCTAGCATAGTTTGTGGGCTACTCTCTTAGCACTGTTTGCGTATCTGACTTCCACATCATTTCATTATTTTTCATATTCTTAATTGTGTATTAGGATTTTTTTTTTTGCTTTTTCTCTCTGTAACATCTTGACACTTTGTGAGTCTCAGCTTCATTATGTAATTATATATACTTCTAGTAATCTCTCATAACACAGGTTACATTCTTGAAAATTAGCACAAGTATGAAATAACATTTTATAAAGTGAGGATTTGTAGGTAATAGGTTGGTAGACAGCAACCACCCAGGGAGGTACTACCGTCCTGCCAAGTGAGTGTGAAACGAAAGCCTGTAATTGTTTTACACAATGGTAGGATTGCTGGTGTCTTTTGTCCGTCTCATAAATATGCAAGATTACAGGTACGTCTTGCTACTTCTACTTACACTTAGGACACACTACACATACATGTACAGGCATATATATACACACACCCCTCTGGGTTTTATGCTGTTTTCTTTCTAGTTCTTGTTCTTGTTTATTTCCTCTTATCTCCATGGGGAAGTGGAACAGAATTCTTCCTCCGTAAGCCATGCGTGTTGTAAGAGGCAACTAAAATGCCGGGGGCAAGGGGCTAATACCCCCTTCTCCTGTATATATTACTAAATGTAAAAGGAGAAACTTTCGTTTTTCCTTTTGGGCCACCCCGCCTCGGTGGGATACGGCCGGTGTGTTGAAAGAAGAAAGTGAGGATTGTATGGGAAAAATGGGACTACATTCCAGACACCTCCAAATTTGTGAAACTTTTTATTATCATCATTATTGTACTTAGTAAAAATTACTACAGTATAATTTGCCATACATTGTATTAGTGCTTTCTTCTTGTAATGGATGAATGTAGAGGGGGTTGGTGTGGGCCTACTGGGCTCAAGTACATGTTTGTAATTCTTGTGTTAATATGGATTTAGAATTGTCATTACTGTATTGCAGGTGATTAGTGTACTGGAGTCTTTCAAGTGTTCCATAATTAGTCTTTCTTTCTTTCAACACACCGGCTGTATCCCACCGAGGCAGGGTGGCCCAAAAGGAAAAACGAAAGTTTCTCCTTTTACATTTAGCAATATACGTATACAGGAGAAGGGGTTACTAGCCCCTTGCTCCCGGCATTTTAGTCGCCTCTTACAACACGCATGGCTTACAGAGGAAGAATTCTGTTCCACTTCCCCATGGAGATAAGAGGAAATAAACAAGAACAAGAACTAGAAAGAAAATAGCAGAAAACCCAGAGGTGTGTGTGTATATATATATGCTTGTACATGTATGTGTAGTGTAACCTAAGTGTAAGTAGAAGTAGCAAGACGTACCTGAAATCTTGCATGTTCATGAGACAGAAAAAAGGACACCAGCAATCCTACCATTATGTAAAACAATTACAGGCTTTCGTTCTACACTTACTTGGCAGGACGGTAGTACCTCCCTGGGCAGTTGCTGTCTACCAACCTACTGCCTAGATCCATAATAAGTGTCTTGGCATAATTTACCTCTACAGTACTAGGTAAAGCTGACCAGAAAGCTTTGTCATAACAATTGAACTTTCTAAAACTTTCAAACCATACATTATACACATAAGAACATAAGAAAGAAGGAACACTGCAGCAGGCCTACTGGCCCATGCGAGGCAGGTCCAAGTCTCTGGATTAAGTCATTGACCCAACCCAGTCAGGTCAGGTCACATCCATTTAAGGAAGGAGCATGGCATCAGATCTAGTTGCACAAGCTAGTCAGGTCCAACTCGCATCCACGCACACCCACACATGTATTTGTCTAACCTACTTTTTAACCCTTAAATGGTCCAAACAGATTGACATTCAAATTCATAGTGCTTCATAAGTAGATCTACTTTTTTTTACATATTTTCAAATGTAAAACAAAAAAGATCTACATTCTTTTATATACTTTCAGATGTTGAAAAAAACGTATATATACGTTTGGACCGTTTAAGGGTTAAAACTATACAACGTTTTAGCTTCTATGACGGTACTCGGGAGTTTGTTCCACTCATCCACAACTACAGTGGACCCTCGACCAACGATTTTAATCTGTTCCAGAGAGCTTGTCCTTAGCCGAATTTATTGTTAGCCAATTTCATTTTCTCCATAAGAAATAATGGAAATCCAATTAATCTGCTCCAGACAGCCAAAAGTACTAAAAAAAAAAAATATTTTTTTACATGCAATATACATTTCCCTACAAAGAAAACAATGAGACGTGCACAATAAATACATAAATAATAAAATGACACTTGCCTGTATTGAAGAGTATTGATGAGTGATAAGATGCTGTTTTTCTTGAACACTGGGATTTTCAGAGTGATACACCAGTAAAGACTTCACTTTGCAATCCCCACTAGCATTACAACAAAACATGAGCGTTTGCCTGTCTTTCATAGGCTTATGTCCTGGGCGTGCCTTTTTCTCCTGAGTAATGTAGGTCCTGTTTGGCATTTTCTTCCAGAACAGGCCTGTTTTGTCACAATTGACCACTTGTTGGGGTTGGAATTTTTCAGCTTCTCCATGCCTTATCACATTATGTATGCCACTACGATTCTTAAATCTCTCAAACCAACCTTTGCTGGCCTTAAATTCACCAATATGAGCACTAGTTCCAGGCATTTTTTCCTGTTCACCTGGGTGTTAGTCGACTGGTGTGGGTCGCATCCTGGGGGACAAGATTAAGGACCCCAATGGAAATAAGTTACAGTCCTCGATGATGCACTGACTTCCTTGGGTTATCCTGGGTGGCTAACCCTCTGGGGTTAATTGTTTCTCAGTAATTGTTTCTCATTAAGCCACACCAACAACACACACTCCACATCTTCGAGTAGTACAGCTGATGGTGGTGCAGCAGCAGCTGAACGTGGTACAGCAGCAGCTGACCGTGGTGCAGCAGCAGCTGACCGTGGTACAGCAGCAGCTGACCGTGGTACAGCAGCAGCTGACCGTGGTACAGCAGCAGCTGACCGTGGTACAGCAGCAGCTGACCGTGGTACAGCAGCAGCTGACAGTGGTACAGCAGCAGCTGACCGTGGTACAGCAGCAGCTGACTGTGGTACAGCAGCAGCTGACCGTGGTGCAGCAGCAGCAGCAGCAGCAGCTAACAATGGTACAGCAGCAGCTGATGGTGGCATGCAGCAACAGCAGCAGCTGACCGTGGTACAGCAGCGGCTGACAGTGGTGCAGCAACAGCTGACCATGGTACGATAGTATTTCTCACCCTTTTTACCACAGGGTTGGCACTAGAAGCTTTCTTTGGGCCCATGGTGGCTTATTTAGCAGTTTTTTTTTTTTTTTTTTTTTTTTTTTTTTTTTTTTGTTTTTTCTCTCTCTCTCTCTCTCTCTCTCCAACAAGTCGGCCGTCTCCCACCGAGGCAGGGTGACCCAAAAAAAAGAAAGAAAATCCCCAAAAAGAAAATACTTTCATCATCATTCAACACTTTCACCACACTCACACATTATCACTGCTTTTGCAGAGGTGCTCAGAATACAACAGTTTAGAAGCATATACGTATAGAGATACACAACATATCCCTCCAAACTGCCAATATCCCAAACCCCTCCTTTAAAGTGCAGGCATTGTACTTCCCATTTCCAGGACTCAAGTCCGACTATATGAAAATAACCGGTTTCCCTGAATCCCTTCACTAAATATTACCCTGCTCACACTCCAACAGATCGTCAGGTCCCAAGTATCATTCGTCTCCATTCACTCCTATCTAACACGCTCATGCACGCTTGCTGGAAGTCCAAGCCCCTCACCCACAAAACCTCCTTTACCCCCTCTTTCCAACCCTTTCGAGGACGACCCCTACCCCTCTTTCCTTCCCCTATAGATTTATATGCTTTCCATGTCATTCTACTTTGATCCATTCTCTCTAAATGACCAAACCACCTCAACAACCCCTCTTCTGCCCTCTGACTAATGCTTTTATTAACTCCACACCTTCTCCTAATTTCCACACTCCGAATTTTCTGCATAATATTTACACCACACATTGCCCTTAGACAGGACATCTCCACTGCCTCCAACCGTCTCCTCGCTGCTGCATTTACCACCCAAGCTTCACATCCATATAAGAGTGTTGGTACTACTATACTTTCATACATTCCCTTCTTTGCCTCCATAGATAACGTTTTTTGACTCCACATATACCTCAACGCACCACTCACCTTTTTTCCCTCATCAATTCTATGATTAACCTCATCCTTCATAAATCCATCCGCCGACACGTCAACTCCCAAGTATCTGAAAACATTCACTTCTTCCATACTCCTCCTCCCCAATTTGATATCCAATTTTTCTTTATCTAAATCATTTGATACCCTCATCACCTTACTCTTTTCTATGTTCACTTTCAACTTTCTACCTTTACACACATTCTCAAACTCATCCACTAACCTTTGTAATTTTTCTTTAGAATCTCCCATAAGCACAGTATCATCAGCAAAAAGTAACTGTGTCAATTCCCATTTTGAATTTGATTCCCCATAATTTAATCCCACCCCTCTCCCGAACACCCTAGCATTTACTTCTTTTACAACCCCATCTATAAATATATTAAACAACCATGGTGACATTGCACATCCCTGTCTAAGACCTACTTTCACCAGGAAGTATTCTCCCTCTCTTCTACACACCCTAACCTGAGCCTCACTATCCTCATAAAAGCTCTTTACAGCATTTAGTAACTTACCACCTATTCCATATACTTGCAACATCTGCCACATTGCTCCTCTATCCACTCTATCATATGCCTTTTCTAAATCCATAAATGCAATAAAAACTTCCCT